CCCCAGCCCCCAAACCCCCAAGCCCCACCCAGCCCCCAAGTCCCACCCCCCGAGCCCCCAACATCCAGCCCAGCCCAACCCAAATCCCTAAACCCTAAACCCTACACCCTAAACAGGTGCCACAGCTAGTTGCAGCAAGCTGCAGCCTGTACTGTGGCTTTGACCTCTCTCGTGACCCTAAACAGGTTGCAAAAACATCACTTTGGCTCGTAGCTTTCGGTCAAAATTTTCGCTCAACTCTCGTCGGCAGCCAAACCCCTTGGCTATGTCTATGAGCCCTAAACCCTACTTGCCAAGAGGTTCCCGGGTTCCGTTAGCCCGCCAAAATCAGCAGTAAACTGAAACCCTAAACCCTGGGTATCCTGTGTATTCCTTTCTACCAAGCCTAAGCTCGAAACCGGAGCACCTGAACCCTGAGCCAGAATCCAAAACCACGCATGCATCCGAAACTTCAAAGAGTTTGTGCATACCTAATGTGTCCCTAGTTCGAAGAGAGTGTGGGTCCGGAGCTGTGTTCTGCTGCCGTGAGGTCGAAATAGGGTATGGAATGTCGTGTTTCAGTGCTGGGAATCTCCTTTCGGGGTCCTACCGTTTCTGCAGGCAGATGCATTGGCCCCGTTCGTTGCAAAGCCCACATATGAGGGGAGCCCAGAGGTGTGATTTTTTTGTCCAGACCCTAAGCTCTAAACCACCGAACTAGTCCAAACCAATCAAATCCTATGCTCTCCCATAAGTCTTTGTAAACCCGCAAGCCTCCGCCCAAACAAAACCCTAAACCCAAAGTTTCCACCCTAAACCCTGAACCCTAAACCCCAAATTTCAATCCTAAGACCTCAACCATAACGTCCACACTCGCAAGGCGCTCCACGTGGTGGCTTTCACTACAGAATCGGGGTTTGACTCGCTTAGAGCCTCGCCGCCAATGGAAGCCGGTTCTGCTTTTGTCTTCGAGTGCTTTGGAGTCTCGGGTTTGAGGTATACCTATGGGGGCCTTAATGCTTACAATAGGGTTTTGGGTATATTTACTATAGCTATGATAAGGACCCCCCGCTAAACCTTACTTTAATTCTTAAGGCCTTCACCTTATTTTGAGGTTGATGGGTAGTTGTAAGTGGGCTATACGTAGGATAACTATGACTTTAACTTTAATCCACATGAGGGACGTATAACCCCACTTATAACTACCGTAATGACCTAGAAAGCCTAAACCCCATAGCGACGACGACGACGACTACCACTACTACCACTACCACCACTACTACCACTACTACTACTACTACTACTACTACTACTACTACTACTACTGCTACTATTTCTTCTTCTACTACTACTACTACTACTACTACTACTATTTCTACTACTATTTCTACTACTATTGCTACTACTATTGCTACTACTATTGCTACTACTATTGCTACTACTATTGCTACTACTACTACTACTACTACTACTACTACTACTACTACCACTCCTGCTGCTGCTGCTACTGCTACTGCTACTGCTACTACTACTACTACTACTACTACTACTACTACTACTACTACTACGACTACCACCACTACGGCGACGAGTGCAAGTACTAGTACCAGTACTCTACTACGGCGACGACTACTGTTACCGCTATAACGAGTAATGGAGGCATCAATGGACAAGCGTACAGTGGCCCTTCGAGTATCACCGTCGCGCCGCCGGACGGTGCCTGAAATGAAGCATTGTCTTTGGCTTTAGCTGCGGGAGTTTGGGTTTAGATACGGTCCTGGGCTTTAGAACCTTTAAAGTCTTGAAGCTTTGGCCCCGAAGCCCTAAACCGTAAACTCTCTCCCCTAAACCTCTTAAAGCCCAAGCCCCCCAAAACAAATTCTGAACCGTTTCGTGGTGTTGGAGGTTTCGGGGCGGGTCTTCATGATCCATGCAACGTACGCTCCTGACGAACAAAACCGAGTGTTTGTCACAAGGATTAGGGTCTACCGTCTAGGGTTTAACGTTTAGGGTTATATGGGTGGTTGTCAAAAGTAGGGTCCCTTTTTGGGTCCCTATTATAGTAACTTATAGTACGGCACATAATAGTTAGGGTACCCAAAAAGGGACACGCAGAGGTTCGGGGTATTGCAAAGTGTTTAACGAAGATTGAGCTCGGGATCCGATTTTGATGATACTATGGCCGGAGCCCACCATGAAGACATTGTTTTTGAGGTCAAGAGAGAGACAGAGAGAAAGAGAGAGAGAGAGAGAGAGTGACAGAGCGAGTGAGTGATAGACGGTGGGAGATACAGAGATAGAGGCTGAGAGTGAGCTTGACAAGCAAACGGTGCCATTGACGATTCGCGACCTAGGCAACAGTTGCATGTTCATACTGCTAATGTTATTGTGCCAAGGTATCATTCCCAGTGGCGATATGCCATGGATAACCGTGCCTGGGACTAGCAATACGGACTGGCAAGTGCAAGACTTCAAAGGTGTGCGCTCCAGTAATTCGTTTAGGCTTCGAGGCTTAGGAATCGGCTTAGTGCTGAGAGTTTGTGTTCGGGCGGGTTTTAGGGAACAGATAGACTATTGGAGAGCCAAACAACTTGTTCCATTTCTTGCAAATCCCTTCCTTGTCTCCTCTACATGCCAGCCTTTCTTCGTTTGTCTTCCTGCCCTAGTTGGATTCTTTCTGCTCCTTATTTACAGCTGTGGAACACAGTACGAACAGGCTTTCACTTCCTCCGCCATTGACCCACCTTTGAGAAAGCTGGGTTTCTGCACACCGGCCGCGTAGCCAGTGAGTCCCTAAACCCTAAACCCTAAACCCTAAACCCTAAACCCTAAACCCTTTACGAACTGAAAGTTTCACAGTCTCCGGGTCCCCAGGCCCGAAAAACCTCCCTAAACCGCCAAACTGAAATATCCCAAAACTAAGCCCCAAAACCTTCAGCAACCCTAAACCCCAAGGAATAAACCCTAAACCCTAAACCTGTTGTGAAGGAAAGCAGGCTGTGAGTGTGCGAGACGTTGCAGTGGAAGTGCTCTGTGTACACAGATGTCAGAGTACTAATGCGATCGTGACTGTGGCTCAAGTGAAAAAGTCGTTTGCAAGGGCGACATACAATTCGATAGGGTTAGCTGAAGCAATGGAGGCTCCAGGCCCTGATGATCAAGAGCCACCCGATAGAGGGCCATTTGAAGGACTCCCTGCTGTATATCAGCAGGTGATGAGCCCAAGTAGTGGGACTGCGCAGGTGACGAGAGTACGTCAGGGAGAAGAACAACGACCGAACGGTGTAAGCCGAGAGGTTCGAGAAGTCTCTGCGACAGAACCGGATTACGGTCGGGTTTTGACCGGCGCGGCGAGTGCAGCCGGACACGGAACGACGAATGCGATTGATACGCCAGACGCTACTGGAAGCCTTCTCGCGGAAGCGAATGTGGAACGAGGAGCCGGTGGTGTTGGGCAGTCCGATGTGCAGCATGGGAGAAGGATGGCGAGATCGGGTACCGGGATGTTGAGGTCACCTGCAGCAGGAGGTCGTGAGAGAACAGAGGCACCATTGTTTCCTCATGCGGTGCGACAAGATACGACGCCTGCAGATGGATGGGACGGTGGATTTATGTGGCCTTCGCCGCTACCATCGCCTACCAGATCGGTGAATGGAGATGATGTGGGAACCTCGAATCCTGGAAGTGTGTTTGTGCAACAAGGAGCAACAGCGATGAAGTGGCTTACAAGGCTGGGTGAGTTTGTTCAAAGAAGGGTCTCGCAGCAGACCAGATCTGGAGAGCAGACGACGTTGGTTCAGGAGACATTGTGGTCCCCTGGCGGAAACACTCAGCAAGAGCGAGAGCCGCTCTTTGATCGCTCTCAGTCTCGGCGTCTTCATGAAATGGCGCTGGCAGCTCCGCAGCTCTATGGGGCTGTGCAGAGGTCGGGAGGCGGGTCAGACTCGTCGAGGTCCTTTACAAAGGAGCAGCTGGAGAGTGAAGTTAAGAGGCAGATAGATCAAGCGATGAGTGAGCAGCGAGCTGTCAATGAGGAAAATCAGCGCTTGAGGCTTGAAGTGGAGCGGCTGAAAGCAGAGGCAGAGAACACCTCGGCTTCTATGAGGGCAGCTGAGCAGCGATCAGACAATCCCCCTGCGGCTCGTGATCTTCTTGTTCAGCGGCAGGCGGAACAGATTGCGGAGCGGCTCGAAGGTAATCTTGCAGGACTTCCTGGACATGGTCGCGAGCATGGGGGTGGTATATTAGATGCGCTGGGTTCTGATCCTAGGGGCAATCCTGTTGGACTTTGGGAACGTGATGGAGGGCAGAGTAGTGATCGGGCTCTGGGCTTTCATGGAGTATCTCGAGGCAATCCACCAGGACTCCAAGGACGTGAGCAGCAGCAGCGGCTTGAAGCTGGTCAAGTACCCCAAGGTGCTGCGGTACCTGGAGGCAATTCTGGAGGACTTTCGGGGCGTGACGATCGCTGGAGTGGTCAGACTTCAGGGGGTCGCGGAGCGCTCGGGGGTAATCTTTCAGGACTTCCGGGACATGGTCGTGAGCATGGGGGGCCAGTTCGAGCTAGAAGTCAGAGTCCACAGAGAACCAGTTTTCTTGGGCTTGCCGGGAAGTTTGGAAGTTCGGAAGGACATGCAGGACGGGATATGCCGACTATGCCTACGACCCTTGGAAGCGGACCCAGTGGAAGCGATTTAGGTAGAGATCGTGATGTCGCCGGAGGTAATCTTGCAGGACTTCCGGGACACGGTCGTGAGCATGGGGATGCTGGTTTTAGCAATTTGCCGGGCATCTACAGTGGTCCTTTTGAGGTTAAGCCGGGCATCTACAGTGGTCCTCCGCCCGGTCTTGATGAAGGAGCAGCAGGCGGACAGGGTACTTCGGCGAGTCCTTTGGATGCCCTGGTTCAGGGTATGACCCAACTTCAGGCTGCGATGGCTATGCAGCTGCAAACCACTGCAGCAAAGCCTGAGGCAATCAGGCCCGGGACGAGTGCGGCTGAGTTGCCTAAGTTGAGTGAGGCTGACGAGATGGCGGCGATCAACGTGGGAGACTGGCTTCATGGACTCAGCGGGCCCATGGGCGATCTCACGGATGGGAGCGCAGTGTGGTGGTCCCAGGTCTTGGCGTCGCTCGAGGCTTACTACCGGGACTATGTGAGCGCGTCGGCGGTCAAGAAGTTGCAGTTGAAGGCTGATGACTATGCGGGGGCCATGTTGCGAGAAGCTAAGTGGCTTCGTGTGGACAAGCGGGCCGCGTCGATGTTGCTCCAGGCGGTCCCGGAGAATATCCGGGTGGAGATCTTAGCAAACCGGCACCAGACCACCTTGGCGATGCTTGCGCGGATCCTGACGATCTACAGACCGGGGTCATCGGTGGAGAGGCAGCAGGTGTTGAAGGCACTGGAGTCACCGGGTGCTGCAAACACTCCAATGGAGCTGGTGGAAGGGCTGAGGCGATGGGCAAGGTGGCTAAAAAGGGCCCAGGACTTGGGTCTTCAGGTGCCGGATCCCTCCATTCTTCTTCGAGGGCTGGATCAAGCAGCGGGGTCGCAACTCGCTAAGAATGGCGAAGCGTCCTTTCGGGCGAATATGTTGCGCTATAGCTTGGAACTGGACTCGGCTCCGTCTTTGGCTTCAGTGATTAAGTTTCAGACACACCTCCTTGGCGAGTTTGAGCAGTTGGCTTACCGTGGCAGGACAACAACGAGACCTACTACATCCACGAATCCTACGCTGAAGGCTATGGGAGCAAGTGGGGCAGAGAGCAGTGGAGCGGGCTCTCCCAAGGGGCCTATATCGCCAACCACTTCGACGGCGGCGGTGAAGCCATGCAAGTTCTTTGTTTCCGAGGCTGGGTGTCAGCGGGCTTCATGCAAGTTCGGCCACGACTGGTCGAGTATTCCTCGAGAAGAAAGACATGAGAGATGCAAGAACTGCGGCGCTAAGGGCCACATGAAAAGGAACTGCCCGGTTCGAGCTAACCCACATGAGTCCCAAAGACGAGAAGATGGGAAGGGAGCTGCACCACCGCGACTACGTCCAGTTGGAAAAGGAAACGAAGGAAAGAGGGATGATGGAACGGCTCCCACGGCACCTACAGCTACTTCATCAGGAACCACTGGAGCAGCTTCGTCTACGGGACCAGCGTCAATGGGAGCCTCGACGGATTCTACTACCAGTACGACCGGTCCCGGGGGGAGCGAAGGAACTCAAGGACCCAGGGATGTAGATGATTTCTTGCGCAATGCCACCCAGATTCTGAAGCTTATGACGGAGCAGCAGTCTGTGCCCCGACAAGGTCCGTCTATGAAGATGCTGAAGAAAGCGATCAAGGACTATGAGGGGAAGATGGCTTTGGTGGATTCTGGGGCAACGCACCCGTTGAGGGCGGCATCAACGGAGGAATGGGGTTGTGCCGCTGAAGTAGATGTGGTGGTGGCCGGAGATGGTGTTAAGCGAATGCGGCAGAATGATACCGGCACGTTGCTTTTGGAACCAGCGGCTACCCGAGCGCAAACAATCCTACCTGTGGGAAGTTTAGTGGCGGTGTTAGGCTATGAGCTGATTTGGACTAAGAAGAAGTGCGTGCTGAAGGGTCCGGACGGCGAGGAGCTGGCATTGAAGGTGACCTCGGGATGTCCAGAAGTGAGCGAGGCTACGGCGCTGGAGCTCATTGCGAAGATCGAACAGGAGAAGTTGGCGACGCTGGCCCGGAACACCGAGGAAACCAAGCAGGCAATGGTTCGAGCACGAGAAGTTCAAATGGAGCCGTGTTGGGAGAAAAGCATGAAGGAGTACCTGTCCAATGGGTGCTTCGAGGATGGTTTCAGGGCACTGGCGTCGGCACCATGGGCTACTACTGAGATTCGAGAGGACCTGGCGCGCATCTTGACCGACCTTCCCAAGGACGACAAGGACGCTTGGCAGTTGATGCAAGACCTGGGGTTCAACAGAAGAATGCGAAAGCGTTTGATGAGCAAGGACTGGGCCGTGAAGCTGTGCAGTGGGCGGCGAACTTCGGTGGATAAGGTGTTCAAGGCTGTCGAGAGCAACGGTACGGTCGTGTTGGATGTGGATGTTCAACGGATGCCTCTGCTCGACTTGCTGAAGGTGGGTCCGGGAGTGATGAGGTTGCTTCTTTGGGGCGCGGCTACGGGAAGAGTGGCCAGTATCCTTTGTGGTCTTCCGAGGCACAACGCTTTGGAGCATACGTTGCGAGCTGTCGTGTTGAATGAGGTGGCGGTAGCAGGACGAGAAGCGATGTGTGCGGATGTGGACGTTCCATGTGATGGCGTAGCTTTTTCCTTGTGGTCGTCGTCTGAGGCAGAGCAGGATGAGTCGTCGTTGGCATGGGCGTTCAAGTGGTTTCGGAGATGGATTGCGGAAAGGCCCATAGACTTGCATCACTTCGAGCAGGGCGGCTTGGGACATCCCTATCGTCGACCTACAACGATGGCAACGAATTTGGATGTTGCGGAGCTCAAGGATGTTCGGGATTCACGGTGTGAGGAAGATGACAAGGGCTCGTGGGCTGCATGGGCTCCTATGATGGTGCGAGTCTTGGTTCAGGGGCTCAAACGGTGGAAGCGACGGCCTGGATGGTACCCCAGGTTGGTCAAAGCCCTCAAGGCGGTGGACAGGCGAGCCTGGGAGAAACACATTGCCAACGACCACGTTCCTTATAGAGCAGATTGCTTGCAGTGTATTCACAATGCAACGGGCCGACCGCACCGGAAATGCTTGCATCGGGACTGCTACGTGATGAGTGCAGACACGCTGGGCCCTGTCCGGGTCCAAGGAGTGAAGGGTGAACGATACGCTGTGGTGTTCACCTACCAGTTCCCTAAGCAGCGAATGGTTCCTGAGGACCAGCCTATTCCTGAAGGAGATCTTGGTGGATGGGGCCTGGATGTGGAGGAAGGTGGCAAGGGAACCGAGCCCGAGACTCTTGATGACTGCGACTACTCCTTTGATGAGGGACCTGATGTTGAGCTTTCTCCAGGCGAACTTGAGGAGTTGAGAAAGGTGCAGATGGAGAAACCCGGGGTGTTCTTGACGGAGCCGCGGGACGATGAGTTGCTGGCAGCAAGGGCGGCCAAGAAGAAGGAGGTGTCGGATGATTGGTGGGAGTTCAGAGAGTCCACGGGGGTGTTAATACGTCATCACCTCACCCCTCGCAAGGCGCTATTCCGACCTACTTCGTGGAATGGGTGCCCGGTTCCTCCGGCTAAGTTGGACTTCACGCGGGTGACCGAGGTGAAGTATGTGGGCGGTGGCGTTGACACCGAGACTTCGGATTGGCATGGACCGCAATCGGGCTCCAGGGCACTGGAGCGATCATGGACGGGAAGAACTACTTTCCGGATCTCAGCCGCGGAGGTTCCTGAAGATGAGGCGGTGCTTGACAAGGACGAGGTGGATTGGGAAAAGTTGATTGGTGATCTCACGAAGCCGGTGGAGATGGACACGATCTACATGGTCTACCCAGTTCGGGCAAGGCGTGGAGGTGATGTAATGCTGGCGGTGCAGGAGGCGGTCCTACGACTTAAGCTGATGGGTCTTCCTGTGGCGCGACTTCACTCAGATCGGGGCTCAGAGTTTGCTTCGAAGGGGCTCCGGAAATGGCTATTGGATCACGACATCTACCACACCCGCTCGGAGGCTCTAGTTCCCCAGACCAATGGTGCAGCAGAACGAGGAGTTCGTTGTTCAAGACAATGGCCAAGGTTCTCATGGCGGAGGCGAAGGTGGGCTTGAAGTATTGGACCCTGGCAATGCAACACGCAGCGAATCGCAGGATCTACGAGCGACTTGGAGTCACCAAGCCAAAGTTACTGCCATTCGGGTCAAAAGTGATGATCAGGAGGAAGGTGTTCGGGAAGAACAAGAAGTACGACCTCACTGATAGATGGGAGGAGGGGACCTATCTGGGCCTTTCGGACACCATCAAGGGAGGCGCCATTGTTCTGCGAGCGAGTGGAGTGCTGACCGAGACGTTGAACCTGAAGTTTGATGTGATTGATCCTCACGCTTTGTTAGCGGAGCGAGAGGAGGACACTGGAACCGGAGTGGGAAGCATTCCAGCTGCAGAGGTCCCAGTGGTGGATCTTCCTGAACCAGACCATAGGTTGAAAGAGAAACAACCACCTCCTCGACTACGAGCTCTAAGGTTGGGCGGCGATGGTGCACCATCCGGGTGGACTATGAGGTCGCTTATTCAGCAGCAAGAAGAAAGGGCGCGCTACTACTACAACATGGGCCAGTTTGATGGAGAGACGTGTGCCAAGGTTCTTCAAGATGTCCATGTGGGACGCAAGTCCAGAAGGAGAACGAGAGGGGCAGAAACTTCGGCTTTGGTGTTGGGCGGCTACGTTCATGGTGGTATGCGGGGTTCTATGTCGATCACATATCGACGGCCGTGGTTGACCAAGTACCTCAACATGGTGCTGAGGCAGAAGACAATCGAAACTACGAACCGTGAGCCTAAGTGGGCTACTTTGGGAGTGTTTAAGGCGGCAGAGATACCTCCACATCGTGACCTACGAAATCAACCTGGTATGCCTAACTTTGTCATGGAGGTGGGTGCTGCGAATCCGGATGGTTTGTGGTTGTCCGATGCTCATGAAGTTGTTGAGGGTGATGGAACAGCTGGAGGTGATCTGCAACGAGAGCTTCCTGACGGTTCTTGTGCTGAAGGACGACTTGTGGATATCAAGAACAAGGTTGCTGTGTTTGACCCTAAGAAGTTCCACTCCTATGTGAAGGGCGAGGACGAGGGCCGGTGGATCATAGCGGGATTTACACCACTTGGGGTGGAAAATATTCCGTCAAGGGCGACGGCCTTCCTGAATCGTTGCGGGTTTCCTCTACAAGGTACTGGGGCTGAAGTCTATGATGTTGAAGATGTGTCGTGGAGCGAGTACAGCGAGGACAGTGAATTGACCTCAGACCAGTCTTCCGGTGAGGAGGAGATTGAGCAGCAGGCCCGTGTTCTTCGATGTGAACTACAGGAGGAGTCTACGCCAGACCAGGAGGAGGATCTTGAATCACCGTATGTGCAAAGGTTGCAGAAGGCGTTCGAGAAGTGCGCTAAGGAGCTTGAGGACTTACAGATCAAGACGCTGCGCAAGGTGTTGAAGGTGTCCCCGGGTGAGGCTAAGGACGTGGAGGTAGAAGAACTACTACGGGTTCTATCAGGCCCCTTGGAGGTTGTGCACAATGTCAGTTTGCCGGAAGTCAAGAAGTATATCCACCTTTGGAAAGAGGCTATTCTGAAGGAAGTTAGTGCACTAGTGGATTCCGGAACAGTGAAGCGGTTGTCCCCAGAGCAAACACGTGAGCTGAAGAAGGCCGGCCTAGTGGTGTTGCCAGGCAAAGCAGTTTTCACTGTTAAACCTCCTACGGATGCTCAGAGTTCTACGAGGTTTCGCCGGAAATGCAGGGTGGTGGTCTGCGGAAACTTCCTACCGTCGCAAGGTCAGAATGTTTACGCCTCGGGCACATCGGCGGACACGCTGCGTATTGCAGTGGCACTGGCTGTTAAGATGGGCTGGTGTTTGGGAAGCACCGATGTGGCAAATGCTTTCACGCTGGCACCTATGCCTGAGGAGTTGCTGTATGCGCTGACTCCGCCTACGATAGTGGTTCTGGCGGGAGCGGCCCAGCCGGGGGAGACCTGGCAGATATCCAGGGTGCTCTACGGGTTGCGGGAAGCGCCGAGACTTTGGGGTGACTTCAGGAACGGCAGGCTCAGCGAAGCACGTATCTCGGTTGGCGAGCGCATTGTGGTTTTGACCCCTACGACTACTGACGAGAACCTTTGGAAGGTCACCTACTTGGGCGAGGATAAGGTTTTAGGCCTGGTCCTGGTGTACGTGGACGATATCCTTATGATGAGTACGAGGGACATTGTCAAGGGCATCTATGCTTGGTTGGTTGCTGATTGGAAGTGTTCAGAGTTGGAGTGGGTTGAAGATGGCTCGTTGAGGTTTCTGGGTATTGAGCTGAGGGTTTGTGGAGACGGTATACACCTATCTCAAACCGGATATGTACGGGATCTCCTTCGACAGCATGGAGTTTCGGAAGAACCTGGAGGGGGTTTAACGGTGCCGTGCTCACGCGAATGGCTTCAGGACCCAGATAGTGACGAAGAGATCGAAGCGGCTGAAGAAGCCAATGTGAAGTTGGCTCAGAAGGCAACTGGGGAAGCCTTGTGGTTCTCAACGAGGAGTCGGCCGGAGCTTGCACATGCTGTGGGATGTATGGCCTCGTGTGCACTAAAGAGACCCCTGAAAACCCTGGAGATCAGCAAGCGCGTCATGAAGTACCTGGCCAGGACAGCAGAGTACGGTATTTGGTACCGTGTTGTTGAAGATGATCCGATGATGGTAGTGTACTCTGATGCCAGTTATGCACCTGGTGGAGGCCGGTCCTACGGTTCAACGATGGCGCAAATTGCGGGCATGCCGGTCGCGTGGAGGGCGTCAAAGCAGCCGATAATTACACTGTCGGTAGCCGAGGCGGAGTTGTATGAAGGGTGCTCTGCTGTGCAGCTTGGACTTGGAGTATGTGCACTACTGACTGAGCTGTCCTGGGATCCAGTGATGCATTTGCGGATAGACAATGCAGCGGCCCAAGGACTGGCGAGTGAGTCGCCAGGCACATGGAAGACCCGTCACCTACGTATACGGGCGAGGTTTCTACGACAAGAAGTTGCGGCTCAGCGGTTGGTGATATCTCATGTGAGCGGTACCTTGCAGAAGGCAGACTTGGGCACGAAGGGGTTTGACTTGCCGAAGTTCAAGGCTTTGATGGACTTGTGGCAGATAGTTCCTTTCTGTGCTCAGGAGGCTGCGAATGCTGCTTTGAGGGCTCTGAGGGTGACTAATCAACGTGGCCTTTTGCTCTTCGTCGTGATGTGCCTATGTTTGGTCAAGGGAGTTCAAGGGAAGGAGGATTTGCCTTTGGATGGTTCCATGGAGTTCTACCTTGTGATGATGCTTGCGGTGATTGCGGCCGTAGGAGTGTGGGAGCTTCTCAAGAATGTCAAGGCCAAGCTTGATACGTGGTGGAGGGCTAGGCAGCGACGACAGCAACGAAGTGAACGACTAAGGAATCGCACACGGGATGCGATTCAGGAGGAGCTAAGGCGGCGAGAAGTCGAGATGAGCCCGAGAACGCCGGCTACCAGGATGACTACCACGAGTGCAAGAACAACGCCGCCTACAGCTTCAAGGCGGCACATATCGGAGGCGAGGTCCTCTGATGATGGCTGGACGGTCGGCAGGAGCATTGGGGTGCAAACCGATCCTCAGCCTGCGATGATACCAGCGAACCGCCTGGAAGCCTACGATGGCCCGTTCTACATAACCACCCACGGTGATCGAGTGCATTTGACCTCCTACTGCCATGGACAGCGGAATGCAACCAGGGCATCAAAGAGGTATGAGTTGTGCGATTACTGTAATCGTGCTCGAGGGCTGTATGTTCTCACGGAGCCGAATGGGTGATAACTTTGAAAGCCTGCGAAGACTTCACATGTATAGACACCTCAGGCCTTCGAGTCATGAGGCGAGGAGGAGTGTTGTGAAGGAAAGCAGGCTGTGAGTGTGCGAGACGTTGCAGTGGAAGTGCTCTGTGTACACAGATGTCAGAGTACTAATGCGATCGTGACTGTGGCTCAAGTGAAAAAGTCGTTTGCAAGGGCGACATACAATTCGATAGGGTTAGCTGAAGCAATGGAGGCTCCAGGCCCTGATGATCAAGAGCCACCCGATAGAGGGCCATTTGAAGGACTCCCTGCTGTATATCAGCAAAACCCTAAACTCCCTGGGTTATGGAGCTTCGGAAGCCCTGGGTAGGCACCCTGAGCTTCGAAACTTCGACCTTCCCGGCTTCTCCTATCCCGAGCTTCGACCCCGTAGGGTTCTTTTAAAGGGTTCCTTTAAAGGGTTCCTTTAAGGATTCTTTTAAAGGGTTCCTTTAAGGGTTCCTTTAAAGGGTACTCGAAGGATTCCTTTCAGGGATCTAGAGGGTTTTCGGAGTCCCGGTTTTGGGGTTGAGGGTTTGTAGGGTTTGGGGTTTATGGGTTTAGGGTTTAGGGGTTTAGGGTTTATGGGTTATGGGTTTAGGGTTTAAGCAACAAAATCCTAACTCTGAGGACACGAGCGGCGTGCGCACTGGCTGGAGGCTATGCTTGGAGGATCGGCTTTGTTTACACCATTTAGGCTTCAGGATTTTCGGGTTTAGGGTTTATGCTTCAGGACTTTCAGGTTTAGGGTTTAGGCTTCGGGATTTTCGGGTTGAAGGTTTCGGCTTCGGCATTTCTGGGGTTGAGGGTTTAGGATTCAGGTGTCGTGAGGGTCCCAAGAATGCAGAGTCCTGCAACCTCCCAAAGCCCTGCTGCCAAAAGCCATGTTCATCCAAAACCTTCCGTTCATAGAAGGGCCTTAGCAAAGGGTTCTTTCTGAATTTCTGCAAAGTATCATATACGCGTAGGGTTGCTATACCCCAAGGCCCCTATATTCGTCCCTAAACTCCTAAACCCTAAACCATTGGCTTGTTCTGCTTACCCAGAGACTCCGATATCCTTTAATTAAGGAATATTCCTTACATTCTAGTAGGATCCCTAGTATGATTTAAGGAATATTCTGTAATTAAGGGATATCTTGGAGTCTCTGGGTAGGGAGGCACCGATTTTAGTTCCAATAGTGTCTACCTCGCAGGATGCTGATCCGGGAACTTGGACGCAGGCTTGCCCGGCTGAGTCGCTTTTTTGGACCATTATAGACCCCCCTATAGATCCCTTTAAGGAACCCTATCATAGAGCCCTAAAGTAAGCCTAAAGAGGAGCCCTCATTGGATATCAGAAGCAGGGAACTCAGGGCTAAGGGTAAAGTGACCTTAGGGCTTCGCTTTTAGGGTTTAAAGCAAAAGCCAGGAAGTTGGTAACTATAAGGGGTTCCTTAAGGGCCCCTTTAAAGGGATCTATAGGGATTCTATAAGGGTATAGGGTTTAGGGTTTAGGGTTTAAAGTAAAAGCCAGAAAGTTGGAATATGGTTATCCTAAACCCTTTATGGTAAATTATAAGGTATCTTACCCTGAAACCATACTCCAAGTTTCTGGAGTTCCCTGTATGGGGCTTCGGATTTAGAGTTTCGGGTTTTCGGGAGAAGAGTATGTAGCAGCCTCAGCCCAACTGTCGGTTCACGGCTCTTGCGGGTCCTCACACAGGATTCTTGTTACAAAGGACTCCATTAAGTAATAAGGCCTGCCCAAACCCTGCTCCAATGATTCCTGTTTCCAGAGACTCAGTTGTATCATGATTTTGTAGTCGCTTCTTCAACGCCCTGGGCCGAATCTGCAGCACCTTCCACTTGGAGGTTCAGGGGTGGTTACAAGTAGGGTCATGAGTAGGATCACGATCGCTGCTGCAACCCATATGGCAGGACTTATGGCCCCACTCAGAACTAACCTTAAAGGCAACCCTAAACCCTAGAGCCCTACCTATATACCTACCCATGGACCTCCAAGCACCCCACACCCAGAGAGCCCAATACCCCTTAATTCAGGAATATACCTTAAATTAAAGGGGGATTCATATTATGATTTCAGCTAAATTCCTTTATTAAGGGGTATTGGGCTCTCTGGGCAGCACCTTGAAGTCGGCAGATCGACTCGACTTCTATTCCACCGCGGGACGATCAGTCCTTGGTGTGCCAGCTGCATGGGGGGCTGTCGCTGTTGAAGGTTCAGGGCCTTTAGGTTTTAGGGCTTTGGCGGAATAAATGGTGTAGGGTCCTAACGGTTCGGGACAGTGTTTTCGCTTCATTCGGACCCGGGATGGAGTCTTCTGGGCTCTTGAGGGTTTAAATGAAGTTACCAGACATGTAGTATGTAGTAGAGATCCCGGTTGTTAAAACTTAACCTACATTTCTTAGCAAGAACCTGGGCTACTCATCTAACGCGTCGGGACCAAGCTTGGCAGTTTGCTGGAGGCTTTTGTTGCAGGGCCGTTGGCCTGAACTCGGATAAGGGTTTGCTTATCGTGAAACCCCGAAGCGCAAGAGCCAAACAGGATTTGGAGATTAGGCTCGACCCTAAACTCCTAAACCCCCAAACCGAAAACCCCTAAACCCCAAAACCTGAAGCCGCAAACCCCAACCCTAAGACCTGCACTTGGCCCTTCGGGTCGCGACATGAGAACTCTACAGTTCGAGCCCTCGCACTGAGCCCTCGCACGGGTCTGAGGTTGATACGTGTTCTTGGGCCCTAGCTAAAAACACTACAATTTTGAGGGAGTTTCCGATAACTAGGAATACCTTATTTTGGTATCCTTAGAGTAAGGATCCTAGTATTAAGGGTATTATATTCGGGTCCTATTTTCGGAAACTCTCATCAGGGTTGAGGCTTTAAGCCCTTGAAGCCTTAGATCTGCACTCCACACTGCTAAACTCGAAGCACTCTGCGTGGTTGCGGCTGTTGCACGTGCACTTGAAGATTTGTGGTTTAGGGTTTGGGGTTTCGGGTTTAGGGGTGTGGGGTTTAGGATTTAGGGTTTAGGGGTTTAGGGTTTAGGGTTTCGGGTTTAGGGTTGCGGTTAGAGCTGTACGCCTTCATCCCGAAATCCGAAATGCAAGACCCTCTAATGCTAAGATAGCCTAAACCAGGTCTCGACCGGGACAGTGCTGCTTATGTTTGGGGGCACGTACAACGACGGACGCTTGGTGTGTTGGAGTCAAGAAGAATTAGTAGGGAATGGGGGAATGGATCCCTATAGTAGCCCCTCTATAATCCCGAAGAGTCTCCATAATCCATTCCTCCATTCCCTACTAAGAACCAGATATAAGAATCCTATAGTGGGTTTAGGGTCCAGGGCTTAAGAGCTTAGGGTTGAAGGTTTGAAGTTTTGGGGCCCAGGGGTGTATGAAGCGTGTACTTCCCTCTAGTAATTTTTCTGAAGCGCATAGCACGCTTTGCTGAGGTTGTTCTTCCCAGAGAGCCCAATATCCCTTAATAATTAGGGGATATAGCTTAAATCATTGTATGATTTCCTTCAGAAACCCTAAACCCTAAACCCTAAACCCTAAGCTATGTTCCATAATTAAGGGGTATTGGGCTCTCTGGGTTGTTCTTGGTTGAAGGGGGCTGCGCTAGCCAGGCCAAGGAGCTTTCATAGCCAGGAGCTGAGGAACGATGGAGGTCTGAACAGCCAACCTTAGGCATCTAAGGACTCATATATTAAGGCTTCTGGGCCCAAAGACCATACCATATAAGGCTTTTGGGCCGTTTTGATGCCCAGGGCAATAAGCATAATTCAGCATAATCCCTGATTCTCTTTATTCCCCAAACAGTCTGGTGACGAATTGGGCTTCTTATGCAGCAGCTGCTGCACATCTGGTCCATGCATCCTACAATTTGCACAGGATGCTCGCAAGCGCATCTCCCGCTGTGGTGCGCATGCTGCACACTTTTCGCTGGTGTCCGCTTTTTTGCAGAGGTTCATAAAAAAGAGTATTAACTCCCATGTATCTTTGTGCAGCCGAAGAAGACCTGCATAAACCCCTGAGAAAGCCAGCATAAAGACCTGTATAACACACGTATGAAACCGTATACAATACAGTATACAACTTGTCGGCCCAAACCCAAAGCCCTAAACTGCCCGAGGGTCGCAGATCTATCGGAGCGACCTCTGGCAGTACGACGGGAGTGTGTCCTGGGCTGCCTTTGCCTTGTAGGGCGTCGTAGGGTCTACGGGGGTTGGGGTCCCTTAATGAATGTGGCTGTGATTATAAGCCTACTTATCAACCCTACTTCTGATTAACCATCACCTCCGAACCTCCAAGTAGGGTTCCTTTGAGTGTTCCAATCAGGGTTTACGGCTTTTTGGGGGTGGGGCTCGGTTCAGGGTTTTCAAGTCCCGTCACATACCAAGCCAAGCAGCAAACACTGAAGCACATGTGCGCAGAGAGCGCAATACTCTTGACATCAGGAAGAATGAAGACTGCTTAAATCCTAAATGCAAAATCCCAAACCCTAAGCTTTGAGCTTGGCTCGGATGGAGCCCACTTTTGGCCGAGGTGTGGTCGAAGCTGAACGAGGGTACCATCCCCGGGCGCCACGGCTTCAGGGAAAAATCTTTGAGTCTCCGGAATTCAGGGCCTCAGCTGTCTGGTGCTTAGTAGGGAATGGGGGAATGGATTCCTATAGCAGCCCCTTTACATTATCCCCCCTACTCTAACGACTCCAATGGTTGAGGTCCCGACGTAAAGCTCTGAAACCTACTGAATCTTTTTTATCGAAGCCGTTACAATCTTAGGTAAGACTCCCTTTAACTCGAAAAGCAAAGCCCTTTGCAACCCTCTAGGCATTCAGGCCGCTGCATTTGGTATCTCTGGCCTTAATACCCCAAAGCCCTAAACTCTTAACCCTACACCCGAAACGCTTTAAACCCTAATCCCTTTCTAGAACCCGTTCTAGACACCCAAGAGTGCCAAATGTAAGGGCCAG